CCAATGATGGGGCACCATCCTGCCACCTGATACCAATGATGGCACTATTCCCTGCCACCTGATTACCAATGATGGGCACATGCCTGCACTGATACCAATGAAGGGCACCTATTCCCCCCCACTGATACAATGATGGGCACTATTTCCTGCCACTGGATACCAATGATGGGGCACTATTCCTACCCACTGACACCGATGATGGGGCACTATTCCTACCACTGACACCTATGATGGGGCCCTATTGATCTCCTGGTGTGTTGGAAAGAGGGGTTGTCTTTGATAACGACGCGAGTATAAGCCCCAAACTGTTCATTTTAAGCAGGAAAAGTAGGGGGTTGGCTTATAAGCCCAATCGCTTATACGCCGGCAAATACGGTAGGATGTCTCAGATTGTGGATATCTTTGGTTTTAAGTTCGTTTTTTGTTTTGATTGTCTTTGCTAAAGGAGCGAATCTGCCTTTGTAGCTTAGTGCATAAAAATCTGGCTTTTCTTTTTTGCAGATTAGCATCGTTATGCGTTTTGTAAATGGTTCGTAATTTATTTCTATCAGAGTTTTAAAGGGTCGCTGTTGTGGCTGGATTTGGGTGCTGTTTATTCAGTTTTTGCGTTTAAGCGGATGGAAGTCACGAGTTGGTCAATTTTGTCGGGAACGTTGTCTCTTAATGCGGGAGTTTAAATTGGATGAGGAATACCTCTCATGTAGGCCTTGTAAGCCGGCCAGAGCGAGGTAATGGATATATCAGGGGTTGGAGTTGGTATCAAAAAAGAGTTTGTGAGCTTCTTGAATATGCTTCAGTTTTCCGGTGCTGTTTAAAAGTGCGGAATTAAGTCGCCAGATACAGTCAGTCCAATAAATATTGGGACATCGACACAATTCTAACATTTTTGGCTTTTATACACCACCACAATGGATTGGAATTGAAAACATTAACAAGATGTGCTTTAACTGCAGACGAAGTGCCAGCTTTAATTTGAGGGTATTTACATCCAAATCAGGTGAACGGTGTAGGAAATTACAACAGTTTGCATATGTGCCTCCCACTTGTTAAGGTCCCAAAAGTAACGGGACAGAAATAATAAAATCATAAATCAAACTTTCACTTTTTAATATTTTGGTTGCAAATCCTTTGCAGTCAATTACAGCCTGAAGTCTGGAACGCATAGACATCACCAGACGCTGGGTTTCATCCCTGGTGATGCTCTGCGAGGCCTCTACTGCAACTGTCTTCAGTTACCTGCTTGTTCTTGCGGCATTTTCCCCTCAGTTTTGTCTTCAGCAAGTGAAATGCATGCTCAATCAGATTCAGATGAGGTGATTGACTTGGCCATTGCATAACATTCCACTTCTTTCCCTTAAAAAAACTCTTTGATTGCTTTTGCAGTATGCTTTGGGTCATTGTCCATCTGTACTGTGAAGCGGCGTCCAATGAGTTCTGAAGCATTTGGCTGAATATGAGCAGATAATATTGCCCGAAACACTTCAGAATTCATCCTGCTGCTTTTGTTCAGCAGTCACATCATCAAATAAATACAAGAGAACCAGTTCTATTGGCAGCCATACATGCCCACGCCATGACACTACCACCACCATGCTTCACTGATGAGGTGGTATGCTTAGGATCATGAGCAGTTCCTTTCCCTTCTCCATAACTCTTCTCTTCCCATCACTCTGGTACAAGTTGATCTCTTGGTCTCATCTGTCCATAGGATGTTGTTCCAGAACTGTGAAGGCTTTTTTAGATGTCGTTTGGGCAAACTCTAATCTGGCCTTCCTGTTTTTGAGGCTCACCAGTGGTTTACATCTTGTGGTGAACCCTCTGTATTCACTCTGGTGAAGTCTTTCTCTTGATTGTTGACTTTGACACACATACACCTACCTCCTGGAGAGTGTTCTTGATCTAGCCAACTGTTGTGAAGGGTGTTTTCTTCACCAGGGAAAGAATTCTTGGTCATCCACCACAGTTGTTTTCCGTGGTCTTCTGGGTCTTTTGGTGTTGCTGAGCTCACCGGTGCATTCGTTCTTTTTAAGAATGTTCCAAACAGTTGTTTTGGTCACGCCTAATGTTTTTGCTATCTCTCTGATGAGTTTTGTTTTGTTTTTTTCCAGCCTAATGATGGCTTGGTTCACTGATAGTGACAGCTCTTTGGATCTCATCTTGAGAGTTGACAGCAACAGATTCCAAATGCAAATAGCACACTTGAAATGAAACTTTGGACCTTTTATCTGCTCATTGTAATTGGGATAATGAGGGAATAATACACACCTGGCCATGGAACAGCTGAGAAAGTCCAAATTGTTCCATTACTTTTGGGTCCCTTAACAAGTGGGAGGCACATATGCAAACTGTTGTAATTACCCTACAACCGTACCCACCTGATTTGGATGTAAATACCCTCAAATTAAAGCTGACAGTCTGCAGTTAAAGCACATCGCTTGTTTCCGTTTTAATTTAAAAATCCATTGTGGTGGTGTATAGAGCCACAAATGTTAGAATTGTGTCAAATGTCCCAATATTTATGGACCTGACTGTAGGTGGTAGTGCTGTTTTTTGATCATCCGTCCAAGGATATTTGGGATCGGAGCATGGTCGGTTCTTTTATTTAACCCAGGTCACAGTATATGGTCCCTATTTTGGATGACGTCCCACCTGTTGCAGCGTCCATTTTTGTCCGTTATAAACATGTCTATTCGTGAGTAGGAAAGATGCGGAGGGGAGTAGTAAGTATAGTCCCGTTCAGAACCATGTTGACATCTCCAAATGTCATAAAGGTCATTGTCAGGGCTCCCAGGTATGACCAGAGGTGTGTGACTGATGCAGGGAAACGCAGACTTCAGATATGTGATTAAACAATACAATTTAATTAACACTTAACCATACAACAAACATAAACGCAGTGGCAATACTAAACATAATACAGTGCAAACAAACCAAACCACCCACAGATAACAGTAACATACAAGCAAGCGTCGTCAGCAGGCTGGGTCAATATCAATTGGGCAGGTAGGTTACAGGGGGAGGAGCCAGCAGAGAACTGGTCGGGGTCACAGGCCATGTTTCAGAAGGTAGCAAGCAGCGTAGTACAGAGGGTCAGGCAGGGGATGGGTCAGGGTCACAAGCCAGTGATCAAAACAGGTAATGAGCAGCCGTAGTACAGAGGTTCAGGCAGAGGGGACAGAAACAGGATGGCAGGACAGATACAGGGCCCAGGACAAACACACAACACCAAGGCAGAGTCTGTGGGTCTGGTCGCATCCCTTAAATACCCCCAGCAATCAATCAGTTTCCAGGGGTTAGCTGGCTGAAAGGTTGAGTCTTCTGATTGCTGGGAGCACCCACTGGCCAGCCCTGGTACTGCAAGATCAAAAGGCAGGTGAGTCCCACCATTGTTCAGGCCAGTCCATTCCTAAGAGACCCCACCCCCCCCCCCCAAGGAGCGGGCCTCAGGACGCTTTCCAAAACCGTCCTAGCTGGGCAAAATGTTCCACACGCGCGCGTCTGGTAACCTGGCGGAATATCAACGACTGGCACATCGGGCAGGGACTCACGGCAGCAGAGGCCACATCGGGCAGGACTCCTAGCCGAGGCACATCTGGGCAGGACTCTTCCGGGCAGATGCACATCGGGCAGAGGCCACATCGGGGCAAGACTTCCGGCAGAGGCACATAGGCGCAGAGGCACATCGGGCAGGACTCCGGGCAGAGGTACGCATCGGTCAGGACCTCCGGGCAGAGGCACATCGGGCAGAGACACATCGTAGCAAGGACTTCCGGGACAGAGGCACCTCGGACAGGACTCCGGGGCAGAGGCACATCGGATTACCCAGGCGAACAGCGGGCCACCAGGCGGAGACACCCGGGCCCCCGGGCGGAGCAGCAGGCCACCGGGCCCACCGGGCGGAGCAGCAGGCACCGGGCCCCCCGGGCGGAGCAGCAGGCACTCGGGCCCCCCGGCGGGGCGACATGCACTCGGGCCACAGGGCGGTGCAGCAGGCACCGGGCCCCCGGGCGGAGCAGCAGCAGGCATCGGTGACCCCAGGTCGGAGCGGGCGGGCGCCGGAACCACCCAGAGCGTAGAAGGCGACAGGTCTCGGCCTCCTCAGGCGGAGCGGCGGGCGCCGGCACCCCCAGGAGAGAGCAACAAGGTCTCGGGCCCTCAGGCGGTTAGCGGCGGCCGCCGGACCCCCAGGCGGAGCGGACAGGTCTCAGGCCCCAGGCGGGAGAGGCGGGCACCGGACCCCCAGGCGGAGCGACAGGTCTCAGCCCTCAGGCGGAGCGGCGGGCGCCGGACCCCCCAGGCGGAGGCGACAGGTCTCGGGCCCTCCAGGCGGAGCGGCGGGGCGCCGGACCAACCAGGAGGAGCGACAGGTCTCGGGCCCTCAGCGGAGCGGCGGGCGCCGGAACCCCCATGGCGGAGCGACAGGTCTGGGCCCTCAGGCGGAGCGGCGGGCACCGGATCCCATGGCGGAGCGACAGGTCTCAAGGGCCCTCAGGCGGAGCGGCGGGGCGCCGGACCCCCAGGCGGAGGCGACAGGTCTCGGGCCCGCAGGCGGAGCGGGCGGCGGGCGCCGGACCACCAGGAGGAGCGACAGGGTCTCGGGCCCTCAAGCGGAGCGGCGGGCGCCGGACCCCCAGGCGGAGCGGACAGGTCTCGGACCTCAGGCGGAGCGGCGGGGCCGGACCCCCAGGCGGAACGACAGGTCTCAGGCCCCCAGGCGGGGCGGCGGGCCCACCGAGTCACCAGGCACAACCGTGGGCTCCGAGGTCAACTGGGGGATGACCGCTTGGCACTGGGTCAGATCATTCGGATCGTCTGGCTGGACAGCGGGCACTGGGTCACCAGGCATCAGGTCATTTGGCTCGACAGCGGGCACCGCGTCATCTGGCAAGACAGTGGGCTCCGAGTCAACAGGCACGACAGTGAGCACCGGGTCATCAGGTACGGGATTGTCTGGCTCGACAGCGGGCATTCGGGTCACCCGGTATGACAGCGGGCACTGGGTCACCAGGCATCAGGTCATTTGGCTCGACAGCGGGCACCGGATCAGGTACCGGATCATCTGGATCAACAGTGGGCATCGAGTCAACTGGCCTAAATAGGATCGTCAGGCTGGATCAGTTCATCATGCTGGGTAGAGGCATCAGGCTGGAATGCCGGCGTCCGGCTGAGTAGAGGCATCAGGGGCCGAGTAAGTAGAGGCTTTCAGGCCGAGTAGAGGCTTCAGGCCGAGTAGAGGCTTCAGGCCGAGTAGAGGCATCAGGACGAGTAGAGGCTTCAGGGCCGAGTAGAGGCTTCAGGCCGAGTAGAGGCTTCAGGCCGAGTAGAGGCATCAGGCCGAGTAGAGGCATCAGGCCGAGTAGAGGCATCAGGCCGAGGAGAGGCATCAGGCCCGAGGAGAGGCATCAGGCCGAGGAGAGGCATCAGGCCGAGTAGAGAGGCTTCAGGCTGAACCACGGAAGGCAGGCTCACCGGTTTGGATACTGGCAGGATGGTATTGGTTGGAAAGAATTTTCGCTTTTTTCTGGTTTTAACTACTGGAGCACTGCAAGTAAATGCAGGTCTGCAAACGAATGGAGCAGCTGGAGACAGAGAAGAACTGGAGGATGGAACAGGAGAGGGAGCGGTTGCTACAGAGGGCTTTTTTACAGGGTTAAAGGCAGGATAGGTGCAGCGAGTGGGAACAGGGTACTGACATGCGGTAGATAGCAGGGCAGGAGGGAGCTGTTGGGAATGCAGGAATAGAGTTTTGAGGAAATAGATTAGAAGCAGGACTGGGTCTTTGTAAGCTGACTGAGGCTGGGGTGCAACAAGTCTGTCCATGTCTGCAGTATGGGTTGAACAAAGCTGAGCTTACACAAAGCCTGTCTGGTCAATGACTGTACTGCGTTTATACAATCTCTTAGTGTCTGTGGTGAACATGTGGAATAACGCTCCAGAAAGTAATCCACATCATCCTCTAATAACCACACCATGGGGACTCTACCTGGTCTGCACTAAATGGTGGCAAAAAAAATTCATCCCTGCATTCGGGGGAACCAGATGAAACCAAATCAGCACAAACCTCAATCAAAGGCTGCACCTCAGAGAACTCTGTGCCCTGATCTACTAGAACATGAGCGAGCCGTATACATTCTAGCAGTTCATCCCGGGTATACTCCTTCAGAGTTTGATAAGCATACTCCCTGTCATCAAACACTAGCAGATTATAAATATTCAACCTCATCAAGATCCATCCTTCCCATCAACAAGCCAAGATGGCTTCCCTGTGCAGCCACTTCTGGTCAGGATTGGCCTTGGTGTAATGTCAGGGCTCCCAGGTATGACCAGAGGTGTGTGACTGATGCAGGGGAAACGCAGACTTCAGATATGTGATAAACAATACAATTTATTAACACTAACCATACAAACATAAACGCAGTGCAATACTAAACATAATACAGTGCAAACAAACCAAACCAACCACCCACCGATAACAGTACATACAAGCAAGCGTCGTCAGGCAGGCCGGGTCAATATCAATTGGGCAGGTAGGTACAGGGGGAGCAAGCAGAGAATGGTCGGGGTCACAGGCCAGGTTCAGCAGGTAGCAAGCAGCGTAGTATAGAGGGTCAGGCAGAGGGATGGTCAGGGTCACAAGCCAGAGATCAAAAACAGGTAACGAGCAGCGTAGTACAGAGGGTCAGGCAGAGGGACAGAAACAGGATGCAGGACAGATACAGGGCCCAGGACAAAACACAACACCAAGGCAGAGTCTGTGGGTCTGGCCATCCCTTAAATACCCCAGCATCATCAGTTCCAGGTGTTAGCTGGCTGAAAGGTTGAGTCTCTGATTGCTGGGAGCACCCGCTGGCCAGCCCTGGTACTGCAGATCAAAAGGCAGGTGAGTCCCACCATTGCTGGCCAGTCCATTCCTAACAGTCATTGTCATGGAGAAATTGGTTAAAAGTAGGTTTAGTGTATTTGGAAGTGGAGGATGAGTCTATGTCCGAATTTCCCAAAATGTTGAAATCGCCACCAACGATGAGTTTCCCTTGTTTATGTAGGGAGATGGTTTTGAAAAGTTTACGGTAGAAACGTAATTGTTTGCAGTTTGGGCCCATAAACATTCACTAAAGTGTGGGTCTTGTCATTTATTTGGCATACTAATATGTGAAAGCGTCCTTGTGGGTCCGCTGTCTGTGATAGAATACGGAATTAAAGAGAGTCGTTGATGGCCGTGATCACTCCATTCTTCTTTTTGGTGTTGGTTGCCATGAATATTTGAGAGAAGCGATGAAGGTATAATTTGGGTGACTTATTGGTAGCAAAGTGTGTTTTCTGTATGAAGAGTATGTCCGCTCGTGACTTCCGTGCTTCTTTAGATAGTAATGACCGTTTATAAGGTGAATTTAGGCCTCGGACATTTAAGGATGTAAGATTAATCATTGGTATTTATAATTCCAAGATTTTCCATTAACTGGAGTGTTATTTTGGGAGAATCGTAAGAATATGTATTTTTCCAAGAGGATGAGTGTTCGAGTGTAGGTGATGGATCTGTGACTCAATCGAAGCGATAAAGGGAGTATTCCAATATGTGTCGCCATAGATGATACTGGGGTATTGAGTGGATGTCCAATGGTGCCAGGGTAAGGAAGGGGTGAGGATATGGTGAACAATAAAAAAACCATTTGCGAAAAATGCAAATATCACGTGTAGCCAACATTGCTACCTCTAAACTGGGGGGTTCAAGAGGGCTTGACCGCTGGGTGGTGGTCAGGCCAATTGTAAAAAACTTTGAGCGAAGTTCAAGGGTTTAGGCCAAACGCCAGACAAATTAAGTGAATGAGTGGCTCCTGGGAGAGTGTGTGAGTATGCAGAGTAATAAAGCAAAGTATGTCCTGTAGGGGCTATGTTGCTTCCATAGAACTATACGTAGGTTCTTGTGGTTCCGCAGGGATGATATTCCAGGATTTTAGTAGATCCAGGCCTGCCTCCAATGTTTTGATGGTGAAGATCCTACCATTTTGCAGCACCGTTAACTTGGTGGGGAACCCCCATTGGTAGGCTATGCCGTGGTTTCTGAGGGCCTTGGTGATTGATAGCATACGTTTCCTGTTAAGGAGGGTAGCCTTAGATAAATCCGCATATAGGCGGCGATTTGTGTGTGATGGCGGGAGCGGTGGCGGGTTTCGGGCCGCCGACATGATTCTGTCTTTCACGTGGTAGAAAATGAATACGTGCTAAGACATCCCTAGGTATAGATGTTGGTAAAAAGGAGGGTTTAGGTAGGCGGTGCGCACGGTCAATTGCGAGTTCTAAGTCTGATATTGATGGTAGGAGGATTTTAAGGTATTGCTGTATGTATGGGAGTAGGTCATCGTTTGCGACAGATTCAGGGTATTCCTCTGAACTTAATATTGTTGCGACGTGATCTGTCTTCCAAATCGGCCAATTTTTGATTGATTTGCTCTATGTCAGCTGAGTGATCTACGTGAGCATCAATTAAGTTGTTGTGCGCCATAATGATGTCTCCCATGTTGTTCTCAATGTGGCTTATTCTGTGTTCCTGTTGTTGTGCTATATTTGACAGTTGGTTAAGTGACGTGAAGATATCATTATGTAGCGATTGGCGCAAAGACGTGAGCATGCTTCTCATGCATATCTCTGTCAGAGGTATATCTGATGCAGGGAATGCATCTATATCAGGCATCGCTGGGTGGGATAGATGCGATGTAGGTTCTGAGGGCTGGAATAATGTGCTGGGGTCCTGCTCTAGCCGTGGCCTGGACTTAGCTGGGCTTCGTGATGTAGGGGATAGTGGGGGTGACAACTCACCAGGGTCTCCGGGGTAGAGCGGGTGCTGCAGCCTGGAATCCCTTTGTTGGGACCTGTAGTCCTCCTGCTGGTCTCTGCTCCCATCTCCCTGCTTGCATCCGCGGGCGCCATCTTGGATTCCCGGCCCGAAGGCCGGGAAGAATTGGGTCAGCTTTCCTGGCTGATCCGCCGTTTTTTTTCCTCCTTGACATATCTGCGGAGGGTCGGGCACCTTATGTGAGCGGTGCGGTGTCACGCTTGTGTCCCAGGGCTGGTTTGTGCCGCTGTGTGTCTGGCGGGGTGGACGGAGCTGCCTCACTGCACGTCAACCTTCAGAGCTGGCCGCGCATGCGCCCCCTGGAGCTCTATTTTAAATCACACCCAGGGCACTATCAGTATTAGGTTTGAATGTTCTCACTATGTCTGTGAATCAGAATCCAAAAATATATTGGTAGGTTAATACATTTTCTCTTAATTGTCTCCAGGGTGTGTATAAGTGTGTGGCAGAGATATACAGCAAGAGTCTAAGCTTCATCAGGGAAAGGTGACTGTTGTGACTGGACATGTTCTGTAAGTGCTGTATAATATGCTGACACTATATAAAAAAAATAAAAAAAAGGAAAAATAAAAAAAAGGAAAAAAATTATGAAACTAAAATATAAAAGTTTAGCTTCCATTTCCCATATAAACCATAGTTGTCAAACTGGAAGTAATGGTTTTTAGACTACACTACCCGAAACAAAAATATATCTTTTAAGGCACATTGTTTTTAGTACTTTAGACCAGTGTTTCTCAACCTTTTTTCAGTCAAGGCACTCTTTAATATTATGGACAGTCCTGATGCAACCCTTTAGAATTATGGACAGTCTTGAGGCACCCATTCTAAAATGGAGTGCCTGTAGACTGTCCATAATTTTAAAAGGGCACCCCATTCTAAAATGTGTAAAAACTATTCTAATAGCTTTATATAACACAGCAACATCCACACATGTAGGACACCCAACATTTAGAGGTGATTTATTCTTCCAACGCAAATACACACTGGTACTGACTAGTATTCCTATGTTTCTCTTCTCCCTCAGCTTTTCTCCATCATTGAGCAAATGTGACACCCAGCACTGATGGAAAGGGGCAGGGGATTGTTGAACTAGGATGCTGTGCAGGCAGCTGACATCCTCCTTATCAATTGATGATGCCATTGGTTGTCAGAATGCCAGTGGCTAGAAGGTCGTAATACTGCACAATGAAAACCTGTGACTTTGTGTGTAACTAAAAGGCAGGCTTGTTCCACCCATTGG